TCCAATTTTATTGATTAATTTGCTTTTTCTAATTTGACCAAGTAACATATACATGTGAATAGCTTATAATGGGTTGAATGGTTGGGTATGGATTTTCCTAAAATATTAATGTGTTTCGGCAATACGGGTCAGGTCTGATATATATCGAGTACGGGTATGAATCATTAGATTTACATTACATGAAAACGAATCAAAATGGATTAAATGTATCAATATGGGTCGGACCCGACCCAAACCCGATCCAATTTGTAGTTTCGAGATTGGGAACCGGCTTACTCCAAAATCGATCACCCTTGAATGGAGTTAAGAGTCTCTCCATCTCTCATGTACGATCGGTTCCACGGTTCAATAAAACGGATCCCTTTCGAATCGACGTGACTTGAATTTTTCGTGCTTAGCTCTGGCTATCCACGTGTTACGAAGAGGAGGGCAAGACAAAGATGGATCAGCTCATCGACGTGGAAGTCAACCTAATAACGCCATTCCTCGTCCCGTCGGACAACGACCCGATGGGCATGCCACGCGAGGATGAATTGGATGTTGGTTGGATTGCCATGACAGCGGGGATCTTTCTGGCAGCGGGGCACGGTCCACGGGAGACCACACGTGGCACCTATGTCGGCCCTCCAGCTGGACCTTGACTTTGAAGGAGCGAGGCGAGATTCGCACCAATCATGGCTCTTGCGAAGGACGCACGTCGCGCCTACTTCCGCGCGGCAATGTTCTAGCCGTCCGCTGCGTTCCAAGTCAACCCTTCCGCAGGGACACAGAATTCCAACCCACCCCAAGAAGAAAAAAACAAAAGCAGAAACCTCGATAATCACGAGCCCTGTCTGGCGGCAAACGCCACGTGACGTCAGCTCGCGGCCTGAAACGGTAATTTCGCGCGGCGCTGCAGATCGGGACGACGCGTGTCGCTCCCTGGATCGCTCTCTTATCACCGTGTTTCGCAAAATATCACCGTCCTTTTTCGCGAATTGACCAATCGGAGCGCGGATACGGATACGCTCGGGGAGCTGTGGGAGGGGGCGCGCGCGCAGAGAGTGACGTCACGGACCGGGACACAGGCCACGCGTCCACGCGTCCGTGCACGTGGAGGGACGGAGGGCGTTGGGCGGCGGCCAGGTGGCGTGCGTACGTGGGGATCAGGGCACGGGTGGGCCCCGCGTATCGACGGGGGCCGCAACGTGGTGGAAGATGTGCTGGCTAAAAGAGAGAGATCTTTTTCTCCTGAAAGGTCGCGCGCGCGCGTCGTGATCCCGAGCTGTAGGTTTCGCCAAAAAGCAAGGCGACTGGATCTGTTTTTTTTTCCCAATTCCCCACGATTTTATTCCTTCGTTTCGATGGAGGATTCTTTGGATACTCGTGATCTAGTCAAGATTGTTTTGTTGCTTGGAAGCTGTCCTCGAGTTTGTCATCATGTGTCGAGAACATTCAACGATAACCTTTTTAGCTTTTTGGAGATGGGATAGCAATAACCATTTACATTTTCACCTTCGAGAATATCAAGTACGAACTCGGGTTTTATCTTTTGAGAGGCTTTGCACGTTCACATCAATTATTGCAATATCTTTATTTACTAAAGCGTCGTTTTTTTTTCAAAAAACTGCCCAAGCCTCGAATGTGAAATTATTGCACCTATCCAAAACGCTCAAAACTAACTCAAAATCAACTAGCCAAGCCATAAGCTAGGTACTAAAATAAATTCGCAAGGAGGGGCGATTTGGTCTTTTTCGATCTAAGGTTTTGCTTAGAGGTATGTACATGGTATTTACAAAAATAAAGGCATGTAATTCAAAAGTGATGTATGTTTTTTTTTTAATATATATTTTCGACTTTAAAGAACGAACCAATTCGGGTGTATAAGATTCGCCTTGATAAGTTTGAGTCATTGCTTCAAACTTTCGACACAATTCATGAGATTAATTAGCAGAACATTTAATAAACACGAAGCTTACATGTTTTGGGGTAGACTTCCTCGTCATTAAAAAGAAAGAATCAACATCTATTTAAGGCATCGCGATTGGATGTCATCGATATCTAACTTTGGAACGTACATTTTTTTATGGTAGTAAAATTCAAGGATGTCTTTATCCACCCATATAAAATATGGGACGGGATAAACATATAACAGCACAAAATAATCCCCGATGTCTCTTTAATTACATTGAAAAATGAGTCATATAATCGTAATAAACGGATAATCTAATTCATCACCCATGGGGAACCAATGACAGATGATATCATCGATTGTGAACCAGTGACACTTTGTTATGCTAGTCAGATGTTGCCAACAAAGAGAAAGAAAGAACCACGATTGCTCAAACTTGATCAACCATGCTAAGAGGTGATCATTCAGTCTCGAAAATTTAAAATTGATGTTATGTATCCGTAATTTAGTGCACAGATTGGTTTATAGTAGCCTTTTACAAAAATCGAGAGTGATTATTTAGAAAAGTGAATCATTTTCGGCGTGCGTTCGACGAGATTCTACCCCATATGGTATAGGTCAATCGCCAATCAGAAAAAAAGAAGTATAGATCAATCTCTCTGCTTTCTTTAGCATCGAACAACGTTATGCTTGGTGGTGGGTCGTTTGATGTCCTGGCCATGGGACTCCCATGTGCAGGACACGTGTCCGGCAAATGGGTCGTGCTCCCCGCCAATTATTGCTAATCCCCCCCCCCCGAACAATTGGGGACCTTGCCACGTGTCGGTTTTACTACGGGCAGACACGAGGTATCAGAAACAAGAAATTTGACCTGAGCTGGCTTGTCGTTCTCTGACACTCATTTGAATTTGAAGCAGAGATACTATTTTTAACGGTCGAGCGGGTAGACACCGATTATTTTTGAATTTAGCGCAAAAAGGAATTGTTTTCCATGCATGTTTATTAACTTTTGGGTCCACGTAGCAAAAAACCTCAAACTATACACATTGCGATACACTTATCCCGAATATTTTTTGTATTACTAAAAACTCTAAACTTACCCATTGTGATATAAATACCCATAATTTTTTGTGTCATAAAAAATCCAAAACTTATATCAATGCGACAAATATACCCTAGATGAAACGCATGTGTAAGTTTGGGGTTGACATAAAAAAAGTTGAGATATTTGTGATGTAGTGGGCAAATTTAGGATTTTTGGTGACAAAAAAAATTTGGAGTATTTGTGTTGCAATATGCATGATTTTGGGTTTTTTGTGGTATGCATCTTTAATTTCATGAGTGTGGTTATTAATTATGTAATTCGTTTGTTAGTAAGATCACTGCAAATTTAAATGAAATCGTGATTTAATATATTAAAATATTCTTATTTATATATTTTAACACTGGTCTCATGCGTTGACTGTTATTTAATATTTAAATATTTCATCAGTTAATATTAACCATTTTTTCGATTTTATTCCGATTGTCTTCGTATAAAGTAAATGCAAACACAGGGAAGGATCAAAAGGACGGTATGGGGTAGACTAGATAGAAACAATATGTGTATCGCAAATAATATAAAGGGAAAAGGCCACAAAAAATTTCAAACTATGCCCATTATGACACATTTACCTCAAGTTTTTTTTGTGACACCAAAAACCCCAAACTATACATATTGTAACACATTTACCCTCCGTTAGGGTTCCGTTAAAAATCTCTGTTAAAACTCTGATGTGGCGCTTGCGTGGTGCCACATTAAAAATTTGTTTTAAAAAAGTCACCGATCATCGCGAGTTACTGTTCATCGTCTTCTCGCTCGGCCAAAGCTCTCCTAGAGCTCGTCCGTCGCTGCCTACTGGACCTCCAGGAGCTTCGTCGTAGCTGCCGACCATGGCGGCCGCAAGCTTGAAGCTTGGCCATGGCCGCTCTGCTGGAGCTCGAAGCTTGGCCAAAGTGGATCTTCGCCTTCCGGGAGCTTCGTTGTCGCGAGAGCGGCCATGACCAAAGTTTCGAGCTTGAGGCCACGAAGCCCCCGAAAGGCGAAGATCCACTTCGGCCAAGCTTCAAGCTCGAGCGGCCGCCATGGCCAAGCTTCGAGCTTGCGGCGACAAAGCTCCCGGAAGGCGAAGATCAGCCAAGCTTCGAGCTCGAGCGGCTGCCATGACCAAACTTCGAGCTCGAGTGGAGCCATTTGAGCTCGCGGTCGTAATGGTCGGCAGCTACGACGAAGCTCTCGGAGGTCTAGGCGGCAGTGGGTAGTAACGGACGAGCTCCGGAATAGCTCTGGCCGAGCGAGCTGGCCGAGTGAGAAGACGATGAACAGTAACTTCGAAGATGATAAATAGTAACTCGCGATAAATAGTGACTTTTTTTGATTTTTTTTTATGTGGCGCCACGTCAGCGCCACGTCAGAGTTTTAACGGAGATTTTTAACAGAACTCTGACGAAAGGTAAATGTGTCGCAATGTGCGTAGTTTGAGGTTTTTTATGTCAAATTTTTTTTTTTTGGGTAAATATATCGCAATAGGCATAGTTTAAGAATTTTTGTGGTCTTTTCCTTAATATAAATCAAACATAAACAAATGCATTGCAAAGCATATTGGAATATGCTTCTCTTACTAAAAAATTTAAGACAAGTTTAACGGTGCACGCTTGTCTAGGGAAAAATTTCACAATATAGAAAAATTCTTTTTCAAGAAAATCATTTCCAAAGGACAACACTTTTCTCCTTTCAAATTAGGAAATTCATTTTTTTCTATTTTAAGTAATTAATTTTTTATTGATTAATAATTTTTAGCAAAACGTTAAATCCGCGAACTATTTTTTCGCTGCAACAAACACACCATAGGTTTAGTTTAAACGATGGAGACTGAATTTTTTCTTTATCTTCTGGCTCATGGGGGAGATGTGACCGGTTTTGACCGGGTAAGTTGAAACGAGGGAATAGATCCCTCCATGGATGTGACTGTGATGGGAACACAGGAAAGGGGAATGAAAAGGACGTGAAGAAGATCTACAGTAGAGAGAGAGAGAGAGCTTGAGAGCTTTAAAAATGGTGGCGTGTGGGTTGGCGCCAGTATGTCATTGGGTTACATGGGTCTCCTCCCACTCTTAAAATAAGGTTTAAAAATCGCGTCTTCCCAACCATCAACCCATTTTTCTATTCCCTCTGTCAACAGTTCGATCGGAACCTTCCACGATCTCTCTCTCCCTCGGCGAGTGGAAAGCTGTGTCCTTTTTCGGGCATTGCGATTGCTTCTTCTGTCGGGACAAGGTGGTTTTTCTTTTTTTTTTGTTGGGGTTCGTCGCCGTTCGAGCTTCGGCATTCTTTTGAGGTAGTACCGATGGAAAGTACGGTTTCGAGGCCTCGGCGTGCGTGTTCATGGCTTTCGCAATTCAATGTTCGCTGCTCCAATAAAAAAGAGAGTAGTTTTTGGTTGTTCGTAGAAATGCTTAGCTATGCAGTTACCTCATCAATCGCTGGTTCTCTTGTTCTCTCCGCTTATGGGGTTTGCTGCATTTGGTCCTGGTGATCGCGTGATTAGCATTTGGTTCTTAGTTATACGGTGAATTTACAAAGAAGAAGCTCTGTTCTTGTCTCTTCTTAATTGGAAATGCTTCCGGAGTTCATAAACTGAGAGTTTTTTTTTTACTTTTGAGTTCGTCATGTTCCTTCTCGTGCAAGCGTCGTGGGCGGGTTGTGTGCATGCGCGCGCACGCTTGATGCTTGTGTGTGTGTGTCACGTGTGTGTGTGTGTGTGTGTGTGTGTGTGTGAGAGAGAGAGAGAGAGAGAGAGAGAGAGAGACAGAGAGAGAGTCTCTTCGACATGTTAAATTCAATCTGTTCACATGTTAAATTGAATCAGTTGTGTCGTCATTACAGATAGACCAAGCCTCAAGATATGGGATGCTTGGTGTCAACACCGGAGGATAATGGTGGTATGAGAAGGATGCCACGAGACATTGGGGAGGTCTCCGTCTATGTTCCGGGTCTCCGGATTCCTAAACCAGTCAATTTTTCTCCGCCACTGGGCAGCAATTTATCGTGGAATTTGGTGCAACTCCTGACTACCCTAAGGAACCGTATTGCCGTGCTGGCGGGTGAAGGAGTCCCTACAGTCAAGACATCGACAAGGAAAAATGCCACTCAGCATGGTCTACCCTGCAACACATTACCTTGTTTTCTTTTTTTGCTCTTTCACATTACAATTGTTTGTGGTCTCAATTTGTCGACCTACTTATGAACTTCTTACAGGAGGTTCAACTTTGACTGATCTGCAGTATGCTCTGGAAGAATACTTGCCCGTACTATTGGGATTGGTCAAAGAAGGTAAATGTCAAATAGTTTGGTGTTCTTGGAATGTGTGCGATTGATGAGATTTGCTGATCTTATTGGTAATGTCTATGTTATAGGAAACCATCTGATGCATAAAGTACAATTTGTTTGGGTTAATCAGGAGGATGAAGCAGAGGTCAGGAACTAACTTTGTATTCTTGTTTCTGAGGTGCCATGATAGGCTATGGTGGATTGATGTGAGCTGTAATCTGCAGGAAACCGCAATATCTAATGCTTGGTATGAGGTTTTGTCAGTTTTGCATATGATGGCAATTGTATCACTGTTACAAGCTAACATAATGCTCCTTCCGAAGACATCAGCCGATGGCATTCAGTCAAAAGTCTCCGAAGGTTGGTACTATGACCTGTATCCACTGAAAATTTGCATTTGGACCAATAGGCTTCAATGATTTTCGAGTATATCTGGGTGGATGGAAGAGAATGCAGTGGAGTGTAATTTCCGTTTCTTCTTGTTCTCCTATGGTTCATAAATTATAGCTCTAATTCATCAGTTTATAGGAATTAATTCAGATATTTTAGTACATGAATGTTGCTGTCCATTTTAATTGGTTGAAAAGGTGGTTGTGAGATGCTAAAGATTCCGCACTGCGGCTGTTAAGCACTTACCAGAACATAAGAAGGGAATATTTCAGTCTGGTCCCATACTACCTTCAGCACTACGAGAAGCAGCTTTTAGTGTACGCGAATCAAATTACCTAGAAAAGTTTCCGTCATGGCATAGCGACTTCTATACAGTTATGTTTATCATAGAGAACTACAGTTGTATTAGACAGGTTTGTCCTTCGTTAGGCTATTTGAACTACTCTGGGCCCCTGGGGAGTTCCGTAGTTGTAGGAGGATATCCTGGACAAAAAATCATCAATAGGTTACGATAAAGGAATGTGGAGAAAAGGAGCTTGATCTTGTTTATTTGGCCAGGGACACCTCTGGCACTTTCAGCATAGTTTACATAATTTAGGTTGGGATTCATCAGCATGGATATTGTGAGAGTTAACAAGAGAAAAAAGATGGGAGAAAGCTTCACTAGAGGACAGCTTGTGCATTTTCGAAGTCCAATTAAGGTTATAAAAGGACAAATCTAGTTATGGGATCATACTGATAAAGTAGTCTGATATTGTCTACTGGCGTTTGATTATTATAATGCCATACAACTGTAAGGTTTTTTTTAACAGATCTCTCACCTATCATCTGTTTTCTTTCTTCCTTTCCTCATAGTATGTTTGAACTCCTCCCTATCTCTCTGCCACAGGATGTAGGAGAGCATCTGTCGATGTTTTCCTAAAGGCAGCTGGGTTCTTGGACTATGCAGTTCGGCATGTTCTTCCTCAATTCCCTGCTGAACTCAGGTTTGCAGGCAAACATTACATGAATACACAGCTTTATGGGCAGTGAATGTGTACTAATTATGTGGATGGTTCTTTTGCATCTTAGGAGAGAGTTACCGGTAGACCTTCAAGATGGAGTTCTCCAAGCACTTTGCCTCCAAGCACTGGGGCAGGTATTACGTTTATTTTCCCGAGAAGATGTAGTTTGTGAATCAAGTTGCTAATGCTTAACAATTTTAGACCAACTCTCACCATTGAAGTATTTTTCTACTTCAGAAAACCTGCATTCACTTAAATTTCTGAACTTATTGTAGAGGAGAATAGTGTTAAGGATAATGTCTGGCAGTTTAGATAGAGATTCAGTGATCTGTATATCATTTTTGTTTAATCACAGGGGCTAAAACCTTTAAAACCCGATAGCAGTTTGAGTGCTTTATGCGAGATTTCTATGAACAATTTTATGTGAACTCAAAGATTTAGTGAATTAATGGGCTAGGTTTGACTCTGTTGGGGAGAGACTATAATTTGCAAAATCCACCTGATCCAAATTTAATTGGGCGGTGGTCATAAGATTGATAATGTCAACTATGTGCCCGTACTTGGTACTTGTATTGATTCACATATGCTGTTCGCACCGTATCTCTTTTTGAAAAGATTATGCTCACTGGACAAACTGCAAATTAGGGGATGATCCTGTCTGTGTGTGTGTGTGTCAAGAAATCTAGTATGGTGCTTCTTCAGAGGGCCTCTTTTGCCCTGTTTGAAGTGCTCTGGAATATAGAAGGGCATCCCTTCCTTTGTTATTAGTGGCATAATTGTTTTTTCCACTCCTTGTTTCTTAATGCATGCTATTTCACTCTGAGTTATTGGATAATGTTTTGCAAGAACTGATTTAGGCTGCTGATATTCAACTTGGGATGGCCATAGCCAGTTCCAAAGCCACTCTGGCGGTGAAGCGTCGGCTTGCCTGCGAGACGGTAAAATACTGGCAGCAGGTAAGATCTGCCAACTTTGAACCAATTACTCAGAGGCCCAATAGAATCTCAAAATGACGCCTTCTTCATTTTTTGACTTCTTCTTGATATGATTGTATTCTTTGATTTGGGCGTTGGAACACCCTTTGTCTGACTTATGAATGGGCTTCTCAATGCTTTTTTGCTTTAAAGGCTCAAGAGAATCTTGTGAACCTTCCCTTAGTGAATGGTTGGGGAGAAAAGCACCACCAATATGTTAAATGGAAGTACGTGGAAGCAAAGGTATTGGCATGTTTTCTTCTGCTTAGCTCTTTTATCCCTTTGCTTGATAGATTGCGCATACGCGTCTTAAACTTTTTCAGGACGAAAGGAATCATTATCATACGAAATCTTTGGTGTATTATTCTAGGTTGAATCAGTTGAGTGTTAAATATCCGACAGCATGAACATTCTGGGTTTTTTGTGGACTGCTACTGTTGTGCAGTATCTTTCATATGCATTCCATCATCCATGCATCCAAGCTATGTTTATTCCATCACCTTTAAGGCCAAATTTTACAGATAATATTATCAGTTTGAAACTGTAAGTGTTTTTCTTATTTGGAGAGGCTATAGCCTATACCACACACATGGACAAGCTTCCTCATTTGACTGGCGGTCTCATCAGGAGGAACCAGAGGAAAAATGCTCTATTATATGAATTGTAGTTGGTTCTCAGCATTCATTATCATATGGGCCTTCAAACAAAGATCATCAAACCAGTGGTTGGAAAATCACTATCCCATTGCCTTTTCTCACAACCAATGAAATAGCTACCTGTTCAACGTAGAAACTTGGGTTTAGTGCTTCATATCGGTAATTGACTAGGCATGAAAAAAGGTGATTGGTAGTTGATTGCATTACCATTATTATTATGTAGGATATACTAAATTAGCATGCCAAACCAGAGACTAATTAGTTTATTTGGGAACATCTAGGAAGAGAGAAATTCAGGTCGAAATAAGGGGATAAAACCCCATGCGACGATTGCTCATTCTTCCATATCTAGGGGGTATCACATCTCTTATTGTTTCATCTATAATAATCTTCTCTATGCCAATATATTTCCACCAGGCTGCAGCATATTATTTCCATGGTCTGATACTTGACGAGGGGAAGTCCCATGGAATGGCAGCAGCTGCTTTGCAGGTAGCAGTCGAGTCTCTTGAAGAAAGTAAGAAGCTCTCTGCAGCATTTGACGCAACACCTCCTCTGTCAAGGTGACAAATTGGAAATTTCCTGTTCGCTGCTTTTTGTTAGTTTCCTTATTTTCTCAGCCAGTAACTGGAATTAGTTTGTTATCTCTACCATGCTTACAACTTTGGTGGCTCCTTTTCTCCATTTTATCAGAAAATCACCATTTGCTGACTAAGCAAACCTGGTAGTCCATCAGATAGAGAGAGGATCTAGGTTTAGAAGTTCGTTTATGGCTAAGATTAGTAACCCATGATAGAAACAGAATCATTTGGATGTATTCATATAAAACCCATGAAATACTCCACTCGCCCAATGCATTAGGTAAGATGCGAGCAAAAACCAAGGTGCCTGTCGAAATGTTGAATGGTTCACACTTGATCAATTTCGTCTAAAAAACAGTCTCCTTCCTACTGCTATAATTATACTATGTTAGTGCTCATTTGTGGCCACTAGCCAGCATCGCTTGGTGCACTAGTCTTTGCTTTAGTTGGCTTTATCTGCTCGAGAGTGTGACCGCATTTTGCGTCTATGCCTTGATGTGTGTGTCTGTGTGTGTGCCTCTGAGAGAGAGAGAGAGAGAGAGAGAGAGAGAGAGAGAGAGAGAGACCAGCATTTCCTCTAGCTGCAAAAAAGAACCTAACAACTTCTCTTGCTGCAGAAATCCACCAGTCTGGGGAACCGCAAAGTACATCTCTGAGAAAATCCCAAACGATGCTTCCGCCAAAGTGCGGATAAACAGAGATCTGTACTCCCAAGATAAGTAAGTCCTAGACAACGTGAAAGAATCTTAGCACAAGCAAAATTTGATCGATCGCCTGCGGTACTACTCTATTGTGCAGGACTACGGACATTGCACCGACCCTGCCTGATTTTGCTTTGGCCTTAAAACCCGACGACTACCAACTCCCTTCAGTGCATAGCTGTTGGAATCAGGAGAAAACAAATAGCGGCAAGCCGGAGGCCAACCAGCCCAAGGACACAAGATGAAGTGTACATTTTTATGTTATCGGTGAATACGGGGGACGCTGCAGAACTTGGATGCGGAAGATACAGAGAAGCAAAGTGGATTGCCGGAGAAGTTCCTTCGGATCCAACGACAGAAATTTTTCTCAGATTAAGTTTCGGTTTTCCTGTGTGTTTATTGGGTCTGTATTTATCGCGGGCACAGCACAGCCAGTTCAAGAGAGGCCTTCGAAATTGTACAAGTATATGGTGTGAGTGTAATTTGTTTCAACTCCGGTGGGAAAGAAGCGGCCCCTTCCTTCTCGACCAAAGCAATGTTGTCTTGCTGTCGAAAAGCCAACTTGGTGTGTGATGTGAAATTCAGTGAAAGCGGAAAATTTAGCCTGTGTGTCGACCGTGAGAAGGGTCAGAGAATTGTGTATGGATGTGAAGAACGAACTAAGTTTTGCATATATGATTCGCGTGCCGTTGTTGACAGAATGCAGAGTCGGATTTTTATGTTATCCAATCATTGGTTTTTGGATCCATCGTTCTTTTTTTGTTATTGATCTATCCAATTTTCGTTCCTTGACCTTTTCATTATTGAGACGTTTCTCTTTCATTCTAATTGCGTTTCTATTCCTTGAAATATCTTGTCAATCCTGTTCATATTTCATCATTTCTTACTATTTTCTTTTAACCTTCACAATTCATGTGCATTTTGTATTTTTTTATCCATTCCCTCTAATGACGCAAATAGTCCATAAATTTTGACTCAATGTGTAATGTAATCCACAAACTTTTAATTTGTTTAATGTGATCCCTAAACTTTAGCCCAATATTCAACGTGGTCCTCGAACTTTTAATTTGTTCAATGCGGTCCCTAAATTTTTGGTATATGAACTATAATACTCCTTCCATTCATTTAAGATCGGTGATAACATTGAACATTTACATATAGTTCAGGGACTAAATTGAATAAGTACCAAAAATTTAGGGACTGTATTGAACAAGTTAAAAATTTTGAGATCACATTGCATATTAGGTTAAAGTTCATATATAGGTCAAAGTGTAGGGATAACGTGTGTCATTTTTCCTTATATTTTTGCTCTCTAAAATTTGTATCAGAACCTATATTATAGTTGCCCCCGATTCATACGGCAGGTCGTTTTGAAGTAATCGCGAGACATCGAAGGATTCATCTTCATCTTCATCACCGCACACGCCTTTACACTTCCCCAGTCATTCTCGATTCCCTTCCTTCCCGCCATTCCTTCATCCAGGTCGAGCAAGTAGCCAGAGCAGGCATGGCGGAGAAGGCGAACCCCGCGGACGACGCGAGGAGGAGGTGCCTCTGCCTCGCCGATGCGATCGGCCGGTTGCCGCCGTCGCTGCTCGCCGGCTCTTGCAAGCGCACGCTCCTCAAGCTGGCCGAGTCCGAGCTCTCTTTCCTCTCCCGACGCGCCTCTTCTTCTTCTCCGTCTTCGGATTCGCCTCTCAGGTCAGTCCCCCCGCGTCCTTCTCAGCTCGTGGTTTGTCTTTGACGATCGGACCGTTGGCGGCGCTCTCAAATCTCGTACGCAATAGGGGCAAAGTCGCCCGTGCAATTATATCCTTGCTCTGCTCGATCGTTGATTTGTATCCGGTTGATTGCCTCTATTGAGGGCGGAGGTCGAAGGAACAGGATGAACTCCATTTTCTTTGTCGAGTTCGTCTGTAGAAGTGAAACTTCGTTTTGGTTGAGAAAATTTTTCGGATGGTTTTTGCAATCTTATGAGTAATATGTGTGGCAGTGTTAATATCGGACACCTCGAAGCTGTTGTTCACATTCTCCGGCATCTTCCGGTCACGGGAGTTTCGCGCGTTTGCAAGCCTGTCCCTCTGTTGCCCGCGAGCGGCAAGGTGCGGAGAACTGATGTTGGTTCGAAGTTCGCTCATGTCGATGTCGTGTGCACGCTGAAAGGAAACCCGGTTTGGGTCGTTGTGTCCGATAGGAACCCAAGCTATGTATCCTGGCACGATGGCCGTAGAGGCAAGGGATTGAGATTGAGAATTCAGCAAGTTGTCGCTGCTGCTCAGTTCTCACGGACGCTGAGGCCTTCGTCGATTATTCTTTTCTTTTCACGTGGTGTGACCGACTCCATTCTCAAGAAGATTGTCGACGAATTTGGGGCCATTAAGTATAAAATGGAAGCTGACTTCCCCCTTTCCATTGTTGGTTTTTTGGAGGAAATGGAAGGTGAGTGGATAAATATAATTGCAAGGTCTTACCAAGAATCAGTTGCGCTAGAAATAAAGGTGGATAGTTTTGAGAAACCGGCTCGAGATCCAGAATGGGGAGCTGGAGAATCAATTCTGGGTGCTGGAGAGGCAGAGAATCCGGAGGGAAATGTGAACCTGAATTGTCCTGCTACCTTTGACACTCTAATTTCTGGCTTGAGACCTCCCATGAAAGGGAAATATATGGCTTCTGCTAAAACAAGAGAGGTACTAAGTGGAGGTGATCTCATTAATTTTGATACGACAGCTCTAATTGCTCTTGTATCAGACATTAGTAATGGTGGTGCGGAGAAACTTTTGAATGCGGCAGAAAGTGAGTTGAGGCAGCGGTTCAAAGGCAACTTGCCTTTTGTGATTGCACAGGTACATTAATTTTACCGAGTGAACGCATTGGTTTCTCCTTTATCTCCTAAGTGTTATGTTCAGCATCAGTAATATCAGCTTTGACAATTTCCAGGCAAACTCCGAGATTCAGAAACCAATCCTTCCAGATCTGGGTGCAGTAATTTGTGGAAAGAATGGTGTGATATGTGAAAGTGTTCTTTCAGAGTTCAAAGAGTTAATAGCAATGTATGGAGGGACCAAGGAGAAGCTAAGAGCAGATCAGATACTAAAATGGCTTACGTAAGTTGGTCCCTTGTTCACTTTCAGGATAAGATGAGGGTGTTAGCGAAATCAATCTTCTATAGTTTCTGGTCATCATGTTTGCTTTACAGTTACCGCATCATTCTTGTTCTTTACTTATAAAGGTAATATTGATCAAAGGCAATTCACTGAGCTAACGAGTTAGATTTGCAACAGTGTTGTTCCCGATAATCCTTCAGATCGCATGATCGGCCTTCTAACCACCAGAAAGCTTGCTCTAAAAAACAAGGTCGTTTTTGGCACTGGAGATTACTGGCATGCGCCGACCTTAACTGCAAATATGGCTTTTGTTAGAGCAGTTTCTCAGACCGGGATGTCTCTCCATACGATTGAGCATAGACCGCGTGCTTTGACTGGAAATTAGCTACAATTTTTTTTTCTGAAAGTGGCTCGACATGTATTTGCGAGTGGACTTCAAGGTAATATGTGCAACTAACTTGTATACAGTTTGTTTTTTTGGTCCAAACTTGTATATAGATTACCTTACCTGCAGAGTGATGTGTTACCTTTCTGTTGAACATATTTTCAACTATTATTTAACTGTTAAAATGTCTTAAGAAAAACCTGCCTCAACCCCACACCAATTAGCCTGATTTAGTTCTGCCTACTTCACCGTTTGAAGTCCTGGAATTTAAAACTTGATTTTTTGGAAGACAGATCTAGCATTTTAAGCAAGATGTTGTTGCGACATTGTTTCTAATAGCATAACACAAAATCTTAGTAGAGTTTCAGAATTTATCTTGGAAAAGGAAGGTTATTAAATATTAGATTAAGCAAATTTTGACGTAAATTCAATGCTCATGTTATTTTGATGATTACCAAAAAATTCTGGACTGCCAATTTAATCAAATTGGGACAATGTGTCAATGCGAGATGTGTAGGACTTTCTCTCTCTGTTCCTGTGAGACTGCAATATATTGGATACATTTCCTCTGTAGCTCATTATTTGCACTCAGAATATTCAATTTTCAGTTTCTTAGATTGTTATGATAGAATTGAATTCCTTTGAGGTGAATAGCCGAAATTGATGGCATTTATACTTCCCTTTTTCTTTTTAGTGACAGAAACATAGAAACATTGCGACTTTAATGTCATTCATCTGAGGATTGATTCATGCGCATCGTTTAAAATGGTTGGACCATATTCCTTGCTTCTTAGCTGTTGAGGCAGTTCCCGATGAACTGTTGTCTTTTTTGTATTCTCAGGTACCATGTATGCTTCTCAAAATGTTCGATTCCTTGTACGTGCGCGCGGAGAGGGAGGGAGGGAGGGAGGGAGGAAGTCATCTGACAAATCATAGTTTCCGACAATCTGTATTAAATGAACCTTCTCTGTCTACAGAATACAAGAAATTGAGTCTACAAAAGAAACTGAAGAAAAAAGAAGTAACTATGACAATTATACAATTTAAAGCTTCATCCCAAACCTACATGTACTTGCTTTGATGCTGATCATGCTATTGGTACTCAAGCTGTCCACCACCAAGGAACATCTGCCCAAGATTCTAACCTTCCTCAACTTCATTGTGCCTAGCTCAACTGACACCGGTGCATCAACTTTTAGATCAAGAGGGATTTCTCCTGTTTGCTGCTGCTGCTGCAGTGCTGTCATTATGGTGCTCCCAGACTCACTTTGGCCAGTCAAGGTAATGCCGAGTCTTGTTGTGTTCTGGTAACCTTGGTAGAATTTTGGCAATGATCCTTCACATAGCTTATCATTTGCATACCACACGCTTAATCTGCCACCCTTCTCATAATAGATTCCAATCTTTTTGTTTGGATTCGTGGCCGTAATCTTCACGTCAAATTGTGCATACAGGGTCAGGTCGAAATTGAGCCTCAAAGCACTTATTTGAAGGCGGTCAACCGAATACTGTGGAAGTTTTGGTTGGAAGACAAAGTAAATAACTGCTGCGACTATTCCAATGAGGATCAGTATGAGGAGGAGGAGGCTAATGATCCAGCACAAGAACCTGCAGCAACAGCCTTTTCGTTTCCTTGGCTTCGGGGGAATCACGGGTCTGCCACCTTGCAATGGAAAAGCTCGGTGAACCTGGGTTCCTTTTGCTGAAACAGAAGAGCTCGGCGGCGCTGAAGGTGCCGTGGCGCTCGTTGCAGCCGGAACCACTGGATGAATTCTCTGGTTATCTGCCATTGCTTCTGGTATAGCAAACTTAACCTGACGATGCATTCCGGAAATTCCTGCTGATTGTATAAGCACCTTCGGTACCTAGACAAGTTTCTTGATGAGATGAGATGGTTGATGTGTTCCTCAGAGTGGATATAGGATCACAGTTCTCCAGGTCCTCCAACTTCCCCACCTACCAAGACGTACAAAGACAAGGCAAGTTTGCGTGGGGTGGTTCATCTAACAATCGTTTCATTTGATTGTGTGAGGAGTTAAACAACACCAACAGAAGAAAGAAGTCCCGCTGATTTGAGTTTTTAATCATCGAAAGCTCTTGCTACTTTTTGGTTTTGGCACTTGGACAGGCTTGGCACTTGGACACTGTTTTGGGATTGTGCCAAGTGGCTCTATCCAATTATTCTAAACAAGATTTTGTACGTTATGCGTTTGGGACTTCAAGGTGCCAATTCGCCCGGGAAAACTGCGAGATGATATCAGCAGGGATTTCATCTCGACATCGGATGTTATCAAGGGTCTACGGAAGTTAACTGGAACAATTCTTCTAATCCGTTTCAAAAGTTGGTTAGTGTCAAAACTATGTCAGGAAAAGAAAAAAACGGGTTATTTATTAGTAACTTGCTGACATTTTAATGAAATTATCAACTCGCTCTCGCAGTTTTCAGATTACGAATTTTTCTTACTTTTATCAAATTTTATCTGTCTTTCTTTCAAATGCTATGAATTTATCAAGTTTATATGAATTTATTGATCTTTATTGAATGAGTTTCTAACTTCTTTCCAATTAAATTACGGACTCCTATTGGATTCCATTTAAGTTACTGACCAGGTTTATTCGGTTTTTATTTTTTAATTTATTGGTTTTTTATAATTGATCAACTTTTTTTTATCTTTTATTAATTTTTGTCCGTCTTTCTCACATATGCCTTCAATTATAAAAAAAAACCAACCTTTCTTCTTTCATTTTATCGAATTTTCTTTATTTACATTATGATCTAATTTTGGTTTTACTCTTTCACTTGAGTTACTTACTAATAATTATTTGGCTTTTTAAAGAAAGAATTTGCCAACTTTTCTATTGAGTTACCAACTTTTATTTACATTAATTACCAACCCGTTAGAAATTAAAAACTTTCTCGATCAAGTTACAACTAGTTTTGGGTTACCAAAAGAAGAGTTGTTAAATTTAAAGCGTTGTAGATGAATGCAAATAAAAGTTTGTAAAAGTGAAGAAAAGTTGACAAATAAAAAAAATTAATAAACGTCAATAAGTAATACAAATGGAATGGTTGGCCCAATATTAGTTACTATCTTAATATGAGAAAAGTTCGTAATCTTTAAAAGGAGTCAGTAAACATAAGAGATTGCTGACTAAGACTAATAAAAGTTGGTTAAAAAACTCCAATAAGAGTTAGTTACCTGGACAAAAGTTGTAACGACGCCTTAATTTAAGTTAATAATTTCGTATAAGAATTAGTAAATTCAAAACATTAGTAAGTTATGCAAATCAAAATTGGTAAGTTAGTATCAAAACCGATGATATACAAATTATATAAAAAAAAGGCAAGCCCAGAAAAGTATAGATATTTACCACCAAATTACCTGGAACAAAGTCACAATCATTTTACTACCAACATTTTTTCTTGACACTCACGACCACTGATTGATGAAACTTATCACCGGTGAAAAAATCCGTAGTTTTGGACACAGAACGATAAAATTGTGTTGTTTATGATTGCCAGAGTCTAAGATGAGCAGTTAATTTTTCTTTCCAACGCTGAATCTACGTGGTTTTGGTAAATCATTATCTGACAGGATCAGCACCACCGGTCTCAGAATTTTGAAGTGTCAATCTGCTTAGCAGCTACTCGATTACAAAGACTTAATTTTTCCCATTCACGAGAGAGAGAAGAAACAAAAAGAATGGTTCTGGCCACCAAAGTTCCTGCCTCTCTCCTGGTGAAATAGGCTTCCCAAACATTCGTTCTTAGCCTCATGCATTGCCGGGAATTGGCAACTATACCGTCTTCTTCATAAGCAAGCAATCTACCTTGGCATATGGAGGACGCAGCGCAGACACTTGCCTTCCCTCATGAGCTCGAAAGCTTTGTTGATATCCTCAAATTGCAAATCATGGGTGACAAACTCATCCACCCGGATTTCCTGCATAACAACGCCATTAAGCACATTCTTAATACACATCGAAGGCGCATTTTCTATTGTCCAAAAACGGGATGGTCTTTTTGCCTTCTGTTACCTGATCACGGTCAATTCTACAGATCTGTTGGCTATATAGATTTTTCATCCGTGGTGGGTGATTTTTAACCAGGGATGGTTAATACCCAAATGTCTTAGGAATTTGATTTTAGTAACTTCCATTTTTTTCATTAGCAACTTCCTGGACATGTCAAAAATATGTAGGCTTTTCCCCAGGGAAAATGCAAGTTGCCGCAACAGGACGCCACTTCATGTTTATTGAACTTAGGGATGTATAGAATCTCACTACCTTGTTCAAGTACTTGTCGACCAATGACGGTATATCGGATTTTGGTCTCCATCCACCAAACATGGAACCTCTCAGTGTCCTCCCGGTGAGCAGCAGTCCGTAGTGAGCTGTTATTTCTGGCTTTGCTTTCGGCACACCAAGGGTCACAGTTAAACCCCATCCCTTAAGGAAACATTGGACAAGAGGTTTCACTACTTTCCTTTTGAAAACATTCCTTAACGAAAATGAAGGAGGTTAAGTGAAAGAAAGATTACATCACAGCAAGACTGCAACGCAGTTGTCGTTGCTCTTGTATCGCCGGCGCACTCAAAAGAGTAATCAGCACCCCCATCAGTTATCCTCTTGATGACCTAAGCATTAAAAATTTCAGTGATTGATTCTCTCCAGAGATCAGTTTCGACAGATTATGCAAATCATAACTATTGCATCATACTTTTGGGATAAAATACCTCGTGAATGGGTTCATCATAGTCCTTTGGATTGAGATACATATCAACTCCAAAATCTTTTGCTGCTCCAGCATGCACAATCACTATCAAGGCTAGTTCGGCGCACAAGATATGTTCTCAGAATGAAAGAAAATATATCCGTTTGTTTACCTTTCACGCCCCTCTCAGGATTAATGTCTACACCAATTACTTGAGAAGCTCCCCGAAGTTTGGCACCTTGCGCAACCTTTTTTAAGAGAAGTTACAACAATGATGGGCAATGCTCATTGGATAAGGGAAGAACAGGAAGTTATCTAAAGCACTCACAGAAAGACCAACAGTTCCAAGACCAAATACTGCTACATTTGATCCTTTGGATACGTCAGCCACATTCCAAGCTGCACCTAGACCTGTGTAATCTCATTGCTCAAGGATGTCAGCAGTGAGAACTTACTGTACTGTGACCAACTTGATTCCATGTGCTATTGGGTAAGATGTGTTACCTGTTGCTACTCCGCAACTGAGAATACATATTTTCTCTAGAGGCGCCTTTGGGCTGACTTTGGCAGCGCATCCCGAGTGCACCACCGTGTACTCGCTGAAACTCGAAACGGCACAGTAATGATATACGGGATTGCCTCTAATGGAGAAGCGCGTCTTTTGGTCGCTGTGCATTACACCTTTCCTTTCCAACCCAAGTGCTCGGCACATGTTGCTTTTATTCGATGTACAGTGCCAGCATCTCTTGCATTCTCCCATGAACAACGTCAACACATGGTCTCCCTCCTTGAATTCGGTCACTCCCTCCCCAACACTCTCGACAATCCTGCATAATCAAGTTAATAATAAGTTAACATCATTCAATGATAAAAGTCTTAACATAGAATTGTCCTTTTTTCTTGTTGGTTAATTCAGCAATCTGTTCTTTGATCAAGAATCAATGCTGGAGGACTAGTCCTGCTCTCTCTAACATGAGCTATATTGACCGAGATCTGTTCAAATAGGCAGTCGTATAATATTTGACACGAACTCAAAGAGATTAGCATAAAATGAAGCGGCACAAGGAGAAAGAGGGAAGAAGCATAATACCCTGCTGCTTCATGGCCAAATATGCGAGGAAAAATAGGCTGCACAGGAAAAGAGTTTGCCGGTTAGTCAAGTACAGTTTCTTCAGAAGATAGAATCATAGAAACGTGAATAGAGAATATCATTCTAAAAACTAAAAGATGAATCAAAAGAGTTGTGAATATGCGACCTCCAAATAGTCATACCTCCCCAAGTTCAACGAATTATCTCATAACATAGGAATAAATTTAAAGAATAGACAAAAAAAAAATCAATGTAGAGACTCCATAGACTTATGTCGCAGGTTGCTTCACCAAAGACGACAAACTGATAGGCAAATATCAGAACAAACGGGAACTTGCTGGAAAAGTTATCTAAAATAGGCAGAAGCTAAGGAGTTCATTCTGCAAGGCACCTGAATATTACTGTCGAAATCAACTAAATGAACATCACTCCCGACTTGGCCGTGATTCACCATGATTTGACAATTTATTGGAAAATCAGAATGATGGACATCTCCTCAATATTGTGCTTTGGAATTCTCCGAAACAGTTGATACTCCAGAGCAGAATTCACCTTCAACTCACTCATTTATCAAAAACATTCTAGTGTTCTACTCTACAATAAAAAACTCAGAATTCCGAATGCAGCACGTGGGTCTAAACAATGCCAAGTATGACCCCATTTTCTAAGAGCAGCACCTTTCCTCATATGTGGTTCGAGATGCCATGGAGTCGAGAATGAACAAAAAGATAAACCAAAAAGAACGATTAGTCTTTCCTCCACTTGCTTAGCCTCCCGAAATGACAACGGTTGGAATGAATCTCTACTGCAGTCACTTGTCATTCTACTTACATTACTTCACAGCACAGCAAAAGGTATCTATCTCATTCTAAAGGCTCAAGGCTTGCTTAACCGAGCTGCATCTCTCACTTAACCTGATATTATACATACAGAGAGTGAGCTTTCAGATCAACTATCTCTTTTTCTTCCTTATATGTTACCAAGAGAGTATGTTTCTTTTTCTTTCCCCCTGTAAAAGGCAACAATGACCCATGGAAAATTATTGTGTATGTAAAGATATGCGGCGTCACTTGCTTATATAAAGTTTACCATGATCTACACTTTCAGATAGACTCCCTGCATAGAGTTGAACTTTCTAACAGTGTACACTTAATCGATAAGTGATGTGGCAAACGCTAGAGGAGGTGTAACAAACAGAACCAATCATATTCCGGTAGACTAGTATAGTGTGGGTTCCAACATTACGAGATGTTACTGCATGTACCGACTACCGGTGGTGTACTCAAATTCATTCAACAACTGGATGTAAATCCATGAGTTGAAATACGATGTAATTTCAATGTATCATTTGTTGTAAAAGATACACAGATATAAAGTTATCAAAGATTGGAACAACTAATTAGTACAAGGATAGAAATGCACAAACATAAAGTGACGTGTTATATTTCACGAATAATTTAGTACCTCTCAAATTCATATATAGCGATAATAGACGCTTTTTCTAAAAAGCAACATCGAAAAAAATTTAGATCAAGTTAAGCTCAATATATAAAAACAAGTGAATCGTAATTATACAGCAAGAATATATGATGCAGTAAAATAATATAGAGTTTGGAGGGGTAATAATAAATCAGTGGTTTTGTGGGAGAGAAGAATTCTAATGTTACCGACTAAGTAAATTGATACCAAATGCAACCAAAGTTCTAAGATTGTGTCCCATTTGGGGTAGCTTTCATATTATAGATTTAATCCGATCTGGCCATCGTCTCTCCAAAAAGGGAAAAAAAAGTTCTCGTACTTAAGACCCATTGCATGTAATGGTTCTGGTGGATTCAAGATGCAGCTTGAGAACGCACTCTACCTGATAATTTTCTTAAAGAAAATGTGACTATAGCGATGGCAGGACAAGACACTAAGCCCAATTCTAGATTTATTGTCAGGCCCAGCTTCACATGAACGATGCCTCCATGCTTTCTCTGTTTAGATATCGGGCTCAGGCTGACAGACAAAAAGAAGAAACAACAACAAGAAGAAGTTACCTGGGATTCCCAAGCGGAGACGTCGCTGCCACAGAGGGAAGTGGCGATGACTTTGATTCGGATCTCCTGAGGTTGAGGCGGGCTCACTTCCACTTCCTCGATCACCAGAGGCTGTCCAGCTCCCCATGCCACCGCAGCTAAATTTTTTTTTTTTGGGTTTCAACATCGAATCAAGAAACGCATGAACACCCAACAAGACCACATAAGAAAAGGCAGAGAAATCAGAGAAATGTCTCAAAAGTAAAGAAAAAGATTCAACCTTTGCATGTGATGACGGAGGGCGAGGACGGCATGGTGGCTGGAAAGCGGGAGATGCGCGCGCGAGCGTTGGGTGGGTGAAGTCTCAAGGCAAAGCAAAGAAGTCGGAAGGAAGATGATGGGTTCAACGTAGCCTCTTGAAACGTTGAATTTCGTTTCTATAGTGTCATTTGGTGGTAGGTAGGAGGGAGAGAGGGAGGGAGAGAGAGAGATTGGGGTTAGTTGGTGAGTGGGAGTAGATTGATGCTTCTACTTCTTCTGTTTTCATTCTAATTTTCTTGAATTTTTCTAACTCATGAGAAAACTGAAAGAGCCATCTGATCTTGCATCTGCCGGGTCGTGGGTGCTGTAATACAAGATTTGCTCTGGGCAAGAACTGTCTGATCTGATTAGAGTTCCCTCAATGCGCGATTATCGAAAAATTCACTCGGTCTTGTCTTGGTGACTAATGTGTTTTCTGGCCACCGTCTAGCGAATTGTAGAAAAGCTCTTCGAATTGTTGCTCCTCTTTGTTCATTTGCCATTTCAAATACTTACACAATGTACTGCTCCCGTATGATGTTACGTCTGTATTAGAATAATTTTTTTATTTCCATCAAAATCGATTGAAATGAATTGGGATGTTCAGTTCCAGAAAGAAGGTTCTGCACACCCTTTGACAAGGCAAGACCCAGCGAAGATTAGCGACAGCATTAATGTATTTAACCTTCAATATAAAGATCTTTTGATGCTGAAGAGAGACAATTTTGGCTTGACAGCTTAAAATACACTATTCATGAGTCCGAGACACAAATGTTCATCTCACTGATCCACCTTTAGATGGCAAGAGACGGCCGGATTTTTCTAGAAGTTGAGACATGCTACTTGCTACATGTATGTGAAATGTAACAGCTAATCTCCATCAATCCAAAATCACAATGCATTGGTATGCCTAACCGTTTGACTTCTTGTAACAGAACTCACTCCCCGAGTCGTAGCCATCTTCAGTTTCGGCAAGTTTCATTTTTTCACCAGGACATACATTGCTACTCGCTGGCTGTGATAATCTGGATGGAACTGTGCCTGATCTATGCGCCCCACAATGAAATACTTCATCGCAGCGTCCAAGAAGTATTCGAGGATACTATCTGCCAAGTAGAAGATGAATCAATATATATACCCCTGCCCAATGCACATATTCACTCACAAACATGCACCCGTGCACACACGTGGACAAATGGAAAGCATACCATTGCGAAGTTCTCCAGCCAAAATGATGGTTGTTTGAGTTCCAGAAAGTTGCAGCAATGTCTCGATCAGATCCTCTACTGCTCCCTCACTGTAAATCACATCAGATCCCAAAACTGACAAAGCAAGCACAGTTAAATCACATAGAATTTTATGATCTCCAGTTCTTATGAATGAACAGGAAGCATTTTAAGAATATCATCAACCAAGAAATAGAGAAACTTAGAACATATGTATGGTTTCTTTCACAATCACACAATTTTGCAACAGAATTGTTGCCATTTGATCAAGAGACAGTGTTTCCTTTCCAAAAAGTTAGGTATAGATTATTATAGTTCTGCCTAAGAACCAAGGTATAGATTATTATAGTTCTGCCTAAGAACCATTCTTCTTTCAAAGACGGGTAATATTACAACCATAAGCAGATAATCTATTGAAGAAAGCCCCGCAGGCATTACTTAATTCTTGTAGCTGAAGGACTCCCTCTGTGTAAATGCAGGAACTGAACCCCAGGAAATGAAAACAATGATATGAGGAAAAAGGCATGAGAACTTGATTAGGGAAAATCCTTGATCATGAAAAGTAAGTTTCTTCTGTAATGACAAAACCGGCAAATAGTTTCTTCTCTAATGACAAAACCGGCAAATGCATCAAAGAGAGGTTAGCTCGAACAAGATCAACCCATGCAGAGGCACACGGGCACAAAGAATTAAAGGTAGGAGGAAAAGCTCCATAGAAGATAACCAGTAATTAATAATTTTTTTTTTTTGGTAAGGAGTAATTAATAATTTGATATGTCTCTTGTACAAGATTCGAATGCATAGAGAAGGACAAAAAATTTATCAATTGAGGGAGAAGAGACACAGCACCATTACCATAGTCTGGTAAAGGCTCAATCAACTCTCTTTCAGGATCATCTCCCCAAATCAGTTCTTTCACGACCGCAGATCCCCGCATATCGTTATGTTTCAAATTTGTCTCGACGTTCTTCCTGAGAAGCCTTAGTCTATCTGGTAGATCAGTAAGAATCGCTTGAGCACCCAAAAGAGCTGAAATGCAGCTGAAACCAAATGCAAAGCACCCTCGAGTAAGCAACGGAACCACTCAGCCAAGATGTAAATAGGCAAGAATACAACTAGACAGGTCAGCATATCCAACTCATCGTAAACTTGTAATATTCTCCATAAGTTTGTGACACAAGGAGTTAACCTCGTCGTAAATCATAATTTTTGCAATGAGCACGAAGTAAGAATCCGTGTTTCATTCGATGTGTCTCAGGACTCAAAAGATTACGATATTTATACCCAACTAATCCACATCCAGAGCCCAATTCGACAACCTTCTTGCCCTGAAGAAGAAGCATCCCGGAATCCACGGCATGTTCCAAGAACTTCCCCAACACAACTCCACTATCCCACATCACTGATCCAGTCACTCCAGGAGTAATCTATAACCACATCAAAACAAATCATTTGAGGAAAAAAAAAAAAGCACCGTAGATTCTCATTCATACCACAAAGATTGATCAGCGAAGATTCTGTTCTCACGCGTCACATTGTTTCGACACACAAATCAATCACTCGGACCTCTTTGTTCGTCATAGAAATCCAAAAGGTATGAAATTTCTACCTTTTACGAATCCCAATTTCCATTCTAATAGCAGTTGTATTAGCAGATTACTCAGATCATCGAATCGAGCGATCAAAGAAAAAGTTCCGCTTCCACTAAACCCTAGCGAGAACGAAGACCGTACCAGAGAAGAAGGAGATTGGAGGATGGAGAGGGAGTGGCCGCAAGCTTCGACGGCGAGGGCGAGAGACGACTGCGAGACGAAGGCGTTGGGCCGGGCGAGAGTCGGCTGCTGGATCCCCCACAGCAGCATCGTCTCCGCCGCCGCCGCCTCTCCTTCCTCGTCGCAACCTCCGCCGGAGCCCAGCAACCTCACCTTCCCTCCGTACGAACCCAGCCCCACCACCATTTCGCCGCCGCCGTCGTCGTCTACTTCGAGCTGCTCCACATGCACGGCGCTCGCAGCCGCCATCGCCGGCACCGCTACTTTGTCTATTTCCACAGAGATTAGTACAGCAAAAGTGTAGTTCTCCGAATATTGAGAGATTTGGAGGGATTCGTGCAATTTTAAAAAAGTTTATTTTTCCTTTTCATTGATATTATTTCGTGAAAAATTTGACAAAAGTCATTTTCTTACAAAAATTACAATATTTTTCGATATTTGACTGAAATCTGAAAATAAACTAGAAAATATATCTACACGAGCACTGAAGTCTCAAGCCCGGATCTCTGACTCCCAAGGACAAGCAAAGGCATTGATCTTGGGTCCACCAAAATCGAACTTGAGAACTCGGTGCTCGTGCTTGGCTCCCTGGTGCCTTGGCTCGGGTCTAGGAAGACCGGGCCCAACTCGATGGCGCTTAGGCATGGGAGTTCCGAGCCCGGCCTAGCCTCAAAAGACCCGAGCTTGGGAGTAGGAGACCCAGGCATGGGCATTGGGATCCCGAACTCGGCCTCGATGGACTCGAGCACGTGCACCAAGGACTCGAGCCCAGCCTCGATGGACTTGGGTGCGGTTGCCAGGATCTCAGGCGTGCCTAGATAGACCTAGGCCAGGGCGTTGGGATCCTATGCATGGCTTCAATGGTCCCGGATCCGGGCATCGGGGACTAGGCCCTAACTTCTAGTCCCAACCTAGCTACCAAGGATCTGGGAACAAGTGTTGGGGTTCTTGTGCCCAAGCGCAGAGTTTTGGTTCAAACGTTCATATCTAGTTATATTTTAAAAGATGATTTTCGATTTTCTTAAAAATGAAATTATTTTTCTGAACTTAAGTTTTGTGTAGGAAAACCTTTTTCGTTGATTCAATTTCCTAAGTGATCCAAACGTCGCAAAATGAGGAAAATGCTTTTCGCGAAAAAAATGAATTATTATATTTATTTCAATTTTTACAATTATTAAAAGATATTTAAGTCGCCTTTTTTTTCCTTGTTAACACTCGTATAACATTTTAATTTAATCTCTCAATTTCTTTTCTTTTCTTTTCTCGAAATCATGTGAATCCTTTCGATATCCCTTAATCACTTCATCTAAACTGAACAAATACGTCATTTTTTTTCACGATATTTTTCTAGTTTCATTTGATTGTATTCTTTTCGAAAATCCATTTTAGTCCTTGAATCTCCACATTTTTTCAATCAAAACTTTAATACTTTTAATTTGTTTATCCATGTCCTTTAATCGGAAAGACTTTCTAAATTAATTTCTCTCTACTTTTCACGTTGATTTGTTAGCTCAATTTGTGATCATTGTTTTCATCTTCAAGACTCTTGATCCCGTGCATTAGCTAACATTTTACATTTTTAAAAGCTCTTTTTACACGATGGGAAAATTTCAAATAAGGACTTGATATACCCTCATTTTCTCAAATAAGGGCATGAAGTGGATTTTGTGTTAAATAAAGGCTTAAAATGGCCATGTCAGTCTCAAATAAAGGCTTAAAGTGGCCATGATAGTTTCAAATAAGGAGTTGACCTTGCCGGTCGCCAATTGGTCAAGGACATTTTCATCCAAAGATAATTTTAATTTTAAATTATTTTTTCTTTTTTCCTTTATATTATTTTTTTCCTTTTTCTGGTTTTCTCTTCTTTTTCACCACCTTTTTCACCAGTGGCCAGGAAAGGGCTAGGTGAGGGCACCCTCTTGGCCATGGGGGAGACTGGCCCTCGTCAGATCTGGGCGAGGGTCGTCTTGCTAGTTGCCAGCTGTCGGCAAGGGACAGCCTCGCTTGATCATGCAAGGGCGACTTTCGCCCAACCCTTTTCGGGCTTCGCCGACCACCACCGAAGAAGAAAGAAAAAAACTAGAAAAAGAAAAAAAGGAAAAAAGAAAGAAAAAAGGGAAATTTTTTTTTAAAAAGTCAAATGACAAAAATGCCCTTATCACCTGAAAAGTCAGACCCTTTTTTGAAATAGATATAATCACTTTAGGCCCTTATTTGAAACAAAATTCACTTTAGACCCTTATTTGAGAAAACAAAACCACTTCAGGTTCTTATTTGAAATAAGGTCCACTTCAGGCTCTTAGGCTGCGCATGGCAACTTGCCAAATAGTGTTTGATTCTGTTCTTTTGTTCCCAGAATCAGTTTGGGAATAGAAATCCGTTTGTTTAATTTTTTGATTCTGGGCACAAATTCTTGCAAATTTGTGTCCGGAATTAGTTTTGGAGTAGAATCAAGAATAAAAAAAAAGTAGCTTCGTGATTCTGGGAACAAAAATGAGAATCAGTTTTTTTTTTCTTCTTCTTTTTCTTGGTTTTTAATGTAGCTTCTAATGTCCGGCGTGAGGGCCACCCTCGCCGTATCTAGCGAGATTAAAATATTTTAATAAAAAAATATTATTAATAAAATTTTTTTTACCGGTTATGGCCAGCGACCAGGCCATGGTGAAAAAAATAAAAAAAATATTATTAATAAAATTTTTTTTATCGGCCATGGCCAGCGACCAGGCCATGGCAAAAAAATAAAAAAATATTTTTTATTAAAATATTTTAATAAAAAAAATACAAAAAAAAATATTTTACCGGCCATGGTGAAAAAAATAAAAAAATAATTTCAATAAAAATATTTTTTTATTAAAATATTATTAATAAAAAAATATTTTACCTGGCCATGGCTAGCGACCAGGCCATGGCGAAAAAAAAGAAAAAAATATTTTTAATAAAATTTTTTTTAGTAAAATATTTTAATAAAAAAATTATTTATAAAAAAATATTTTATTGGCCATGGCCAAAAAAATAAAAAAATTATTTTTAATAAAAGTATTATTAATAAAAAAATATTTTACCGGCCATGGCCAAGAAGGAGGAGAAGAAAAAAAGAAAGAAATATTAAAATATTTAAAATATTATTAATAAAAAGAAATTTTATGCCGTTACCAAACGCATTTATGTTCTTTTACTATTTCAGGAATGGAAATTTTGGACCGTTACCAAACGCCTTCGAATGCTCGGGAATCGATTCCCGAGAATAAAAAGAATAATTTTAAACAAAGAATCGTTGTCAGTAAATCGTTTATATCCCCTTATTTGATAAAATGAGGACATTTTAGACCTTTATTTAGAATTTTCCCTCACAGTAATCTTGTAGGCTGAAATAGTAATATTAACTCGTTGATTTAATTTGCAAACGCAAGGACTTAATCAGAAAAGTTTGATTCACTGATTTAACTAGACAAATTAAAAGTTAAAAAAAAAACAACTTAGATTAAAAGTTGACTCTAACCTTTTTTAGGGAAACAATCACAAAAAATCCAAAACTATGTCTACTATGACACATTTACCTTAATTTTTTTTTGTGACATAAAAAACCCGAAATAAATTTACTTTAAAATTTTTCTTGTGACACATTTACCCTTTACCAAGGTTCTATCATATGATTTTTTAATCAAAACAACTGTCGTTTTTATTTCATTTAAACTACGTAAGCGCCATGTCAACAACATTTGTTTTCCAATATGTAGGAAGATTTTTAACAGTTTTCATTGACAGGACTTTGACTGAGGGTAAATGTATTGCACACTTACAAGTTTGAGATTTTTTATGTCACTGAAAACAATTTAGGGTAAATATGTCACAGCGGATATAGTTTGCGATTTTTGGTGGCTTTTGCCCATTTTTTTATATTTTAAATTTCTGTTAAGTGGACTATAAAAGGTTGTTGGTACATTCTCTCTGTCTTTGTTAAATTTCTAGCATGTTAAGGGCCTGTTTGGTAACCGGCCAAACAGTGCTTGATTCTATTCTTTTATTCCCAGAAACAAAAAAAGAACATAAATTCGTTTGGTAAATTTTTTGTTCCCTGGAACAAATTTGTTCCAAAAATCAGTTTTAAAACAAAATCAAAAATAAAAAAAAAGTTGATTCTTGATTCTGGGAACAAGAATTAGAAATGAAAAATAATTTTTTTTCTTCATCTTCTTTCTTGGCCGATGGCCAGCCATGGGCCAGGGTCGGCGAGGGTGTCGTGGCCCTCATCGACGAGGGCGAGGGCTGGACCCTCACTGCCTGGATGAGGGCCGCCCTCGCCTGATCTGGCGAGGGATGGACCCTCGCTGCCTGAGTGAGGGTCGCCCTTGCATGACCCTCGCTAGATCCGGCGAGGGTGGCTTGCGGCTTGGCGAGGGCGACGACGAGGGCGGCCCTTGCCCAGGCTCCGAGGGTCTAGCCCTCGCCTTTGCCGGCCATGGGCCAAGGAAGGAGGAGAAGAAAAAATGAAAAGAAATAAAGGAAAAAAAGAAAGAAATATTAAAAAATTCAAAATATTATTAACAAAAAGAAATTTTGTGCAATTACTAAACGCGTTTCTGTTCTTTTTCTATTTCAGGAATAGAAATTTTGGGCAATTACTAAACGCTTTCAAATTCTCAGAAATTGTTTCCGGGAATGGAATAAAAAAAATTATTTCTGAGCAAAAACTATTTTCGAGAATAGAATAGTTACCAAACGCATCCTAAGTTACCTTAAAAAATCATGGGTTAGCTAAAAGTTTAAATATTAAATTTTAAGTGTTCATAATCTTAAGTGTAAAAATAGAAATAAAAATTTGTTACAATTGGAAATTGAATACTATTAAGCTCTTACCAAATATAAAAATATTACCATTATTGGTAGGTTTTATCAATAAATTTGACATGATTCTAATCATAATAAATTTTTTTCTATGAAACGAATCGAGTAACTTTATCTACCAAATTAAGTGGATTTTATGTTTAATTGAATTCGGCTTAAGGTTATCAAACAATCTTAATCTTATTAAGTGCTGAATTTTTTATTTTTTAACACTTAATAGGGGTTATCAAACACGCTAAGAAGTATCACTGTATATTGATTTCTACTGCCTCATCAAGCAGTCGCACCTAAGTTTTAGCATAAGGAATAAAATTTTACCATTATCCTATAGAAGTTCCAATATATTAAAGTTTATTTACCGATACTTACTATTACTCTTTAACAACAGGGAATAAGTTATTTACTATGAAATGGAAAATTATTTGAGAAAATAGGTAAGGATAAGAGATTTATGAAATATATTTGATCATTACCAAA